ATGGGTATGAAGGGTGCGGAGCCGGGCCTGAGGGGCTCCTGCCGCCCCTGCCCCACACCCCGGCCTCATGTCCTGCCCATTTTTCAGGGAAGTACACGGGCGGGCACCTGGCTGCCGTCAACCTGGCACTGAGTGCCCTGAACCTGGCGGAATGCGCGGGGGATGCCGTATCCCTGGCCACACTGGCTGAGATCTATGTGGCCGTCGCGCTGACGGTCAAGACCAGTCTCCCGAGGGCCTTGCATTTTCTGACAGTGAGTGGCTGGCGGGCTGGTGGGGACAGGGCTGGGGGCGTGTCCCTGCAGCTCTGACCAGGGGCTGCACTGGAGGAGGCAGTTGGTCACGGGTGGGCTCCCGGGCCTAGCTCGGGTCTCAGGCCAAGGTCTGGTTTTGAGTCCCTGTCTGGGTCCAGTGTGACAGCCCAGCTCCCCTCCCCTACAGCGCTTCTTCCTGAGTAGTGCCCGCCAGGCCTGCCTGGCCCAGAGTGGCTCGGTGCCTCTTGCCATGCAGTGGCTGTGCCACCCTGTGGGCCACCGTTTCTTCGTGGATGGGGACTGGGCCGTGTGCAGTGCCCCGAGGGAGAGTCTGTACAGCTTGGCCGGCAACCCAGGTGCTCTCTCACTCCTGTGCCCATCCCCTGTCCTCCCACCTCTTCCTTTGTCCCCCGTGCCCATGACGCCCCCCGTCTGTCATTGCTGTGGAGGCTGCAGGAACGGGAAGACTGGCTCTGTCTCAGTGGGGGCTCCTCAGAAGCAAAAAGGGAGACAGAGATTTGGGGGCAGGTGGTTGATTTGGGAGGTGATCCCAAGCAAGACCATTCATTGTGCAGTAAGGAGATCAGATGGAAGGGGACAGGCTGACAGAGGCACGTTATTAAGTAGACTACACTGGCCAAGGTGGGTCATCCTATCCAAGGACAGGGGTGGGAGCATTTATCTGTCCCACCTGCATGACCAGGAAAGAGCACTTGGTGGGGAGAAGTGGATGTGGGGGCCCTTCCTCCCACCCCGCTCACCCACTCCTCCCTGCAGTGGACCCCTTGGCCCAGGTGACTCAGCTCTTCCGCGAACACCTCTTGGAGCGAGCACTGAATTGTGTGGCTCAACCCAGTCCCAGCCCTGGATCAGCTGATGGGGACAGGTGAGGGGCCCTACGCTCCCCTGCAGGCAGGCGCCCTCCACGGTGAAGTCTGGGAGTGGCTACGTCCAGGGCCCTGTGTGGGTGGCCAGAGCCGGGCTGCTGTCCACCCGCTGGGTGGCCCCAGGCGCATCTCAGTTCCTCCCTGGGTCCGCTTCCGCCCCGGCTTGGCAGGAAGAGATGGCCGCATGGTACAGCTAGCACATCAGGCTGCGCTCGGGTGGGAGGTGAGGAGGGCTGGGGCCTGCCCAGGCCCCCTGCCACCTGCGCTGACTGCCAGTCCTCTCTTCTGATGCAGGGAATTCTCAGACGCCCTTGGGTACCTGCAGCTGCTGAACAGCTGTTCTGATGCTGCCGGGGCCCCAGCCTGCAGCTTCTCCATCAGCTCCAGCATGGCCACCGCCACCGGTGAGCCCCCAGGCCCCTGCCCTGTGACTCCCAGCTCAGCTTCAGGTACAGTGTGGCTGAGTTGCAGGGAGCCTCCCCACCCACACCTCTGCTCCCTACAGGCACAGACCCCGTGGCCAAGTGGTGGGCCTCACTGACGGCCGTGGTGACCCACTGGCTGAGGCGCGACGAGGAGGCGGCCGAGCGGCTGTACCCGCTGGTGGAACACCTGCCCCGCGCCCTGCAGGAGTCCGAGTGAGTCCCGGCCGGAATCTCCCGCCCCCCCCCCCCCCCAGCACAGTGCTGCTCCCCCCAGCCTTTGTTCCGGGCCGTTGGGGTCACCGCCTTTTCTTCCCCGTGAAGCCACAACCAGGGCAGCGGGGAGCTTAGTGAGGGCCTGGGCCCGGTCTGACCATCAGTGCTCTGCCCTGGCCCCAACAGGAGACCCCTGCCCAGGGCGGCTCTGCACTCCTTCAAGGCTGCCCGGGCCGTCCTGGGCCGCAGGAAGGCAGAGTCTGGTCCGGCCAGCCTGGCCATCTGTGAGAAGGCCAGCGGGTACCTGCAGGACAGCCTGGCCACCACACCAGCTGGCAGCTCCATTGACAAGGTGAGGGTTGGTGCCGGGGGCCTCGCAGGTCTGGGGGGCGGTCGCCGCCTTTCCACTCCTCGGACGTTCTTCCTTGGGTTGCAGAAGACTGTGGGGTTAGCCTGACAGTACAGGACTTGAGGCCCGGCTCGCCTTGCTTTTCTGGCTGAGGCTTGGGTCCAGGGGAAAGTGGCCACCCCTCCGCCCCCGCCCTCAGTTTCCCCACCCCCAGGAGGAGGGGTAGGGTGAGTGGTCTGGCAGAGCCCTCTTTGGAGGCTGCCCCTGTGGCAGGCGGCAGGTGTGGGGGCCTGGAGAGGCGGGCGGCCCCGCGGTGCATTGCTGTTGCATTGCACGTGAGTGAGGCGGGTGCAGTGCCTCGGCAGTGCAGCCCGGAGCCGGCCCCTGGCACCGCGGGCCCCCACCCTTCCCCTCCAGGAGCCGGAGCCCCCCTGACCCCTGCCCTGCCCACCACCCCCAGGCCATGCAGCTGCTCCTGTGTGACTTGCTCCTTGTGGCACGAACTAGCCTGTGGCGGCGGCAGCAGCCGCCCGCGCCCACCCAGGCCTCGCAGGGCCCCGGCACTGGGGCCCAGGCCTCCGCCCTCGAACTGCGTGGCTTCCAGCGGGACCTGAGCGGCCTGAGGCGCCTGGCGCAGAGCTTCCGGCCTGCCATGCGGAGGGTGAGTGCCCACGGGGCCACGAAGCAGCAGGTGCGGGGAGAGCCGGGGCCTGGCCTGAACCCCGACTCCCCCGGCCTCCTCGTGCCCAGGTGTTCCTACACGAGGCCACTGCCCGGCTAATGGCAGGGGCCAGCCCCACGCGGACACACCAGCTCCTGGACCGCAGTCTGAGGAGGAGGACAGGCCCCTGCGGCAAAGGTGAGAGGGGCACCGCCCTGGTAGGGGGCGGGTCCTGGCCCCGCCTCCCCTCCCCTCTCCGCCCAGGGGTGTGATGGATGCGGAGGGAGACTGGGTAAGAGAGGCAGAGACCAAGGGACTTAGTGGTGCTTGCCTGATGGCGATGTCCTATCTGTCAAATGCACCGGGGGGCCACCATCCTCTGTGGATGGACGACTGTGCACGCCTCTCTGAGTCAGTGGCACGGGACAGGCCCTGGGGAGGGGTCTGAGGCTCCACTCGGTGCGCCTCGAGGCGCGCGGGGAGGGCGGCCAGTGGGGCGCGGACAGGCCCCGAGATCCCACCCGGCACGGCCCTGCCCCTGACGCGCGTGCGGTGTGCACAGGCGCGGCGGCGGAGCTGGAACCGCGGCCCACGCGGAGGGAGCACGCCGAGGCCTTGTTACTGGCCTCCTGCTACCTGCCCCCCGGCTTCCTGTCAGCTCCAGGGCAGCGCGTGGGCATGCTGGCCGAGGCGGCGCGCACGCTCGAGAAGCTCGGCGATCGCCGCCTGCTGCACGACTGCCAGCAAATGCTCATGCGCCTGGGCGGCGGGACCACCGTCACCTCCAGCTAGACCCCTCGCCGGCGGCCCCAGCGCCCCGGTATCCTTCGGCCTGTGTGCCGGGACGGAGCCTCGACGGCCAAAGGCAGCGACAGAGACGGTCCACCCACGGGCGGCACTGTCTCCTGGGGGGGGGGGGGTGGGTGGAGATAGGCACTCAGGTGCTTTTGCTGCCTCTTGACCTGGGAGGCCGGAGGGGGCGCGAGCCCACCACCCCGACTGCGCCCCAACCGAAGAGGGAAGAGCGGCGGCCAGCATGGTGCTGACCTCTGGTGGCCGATCGGGGGATTGCAGGGGCCTGGCCGGCCGATGTCACCTCCTGGCTCTGTAGGCACCCGGTGGCTTTTCCCCCCTTCTGTCTCAGAGAGGGGTACATTTCACTGAGCTGAGGGGGGCTGACTTGGTTTTCCCAGCCAGCAAGGGGGCCCTACTCCAAGGCGCCTCTCTCCCTTCTGGAGAGACTTGTACATAGTGTAGATCAGGCGCACCAGCCTCCTGGCCTCTGAGGCTCAAGTGTTACTTTGCCTTTTGCAAACTTTATTTTCATAGGTGAGAAGTTTTGTACAGAGAATAAAAAATGAAATTATTTATAATCCGGGTTTTGTTCTTTGGGGGCGGAAGGTGTGCGCTTTTGCTGATAGAAGAGCCAGAGGGGGTCCTTTGGGTCTCCCCTCCCCACCCGCTTCCTGCCCTAGACCCAGGCAAAGGTTTCCCACTTTTTTTTTTTTTAATTTTTTTTTCAACGTTTTTATTTTTGGGACAGAGAGAGACAGAGCATGAACGGGGGAGGGGCAGAGAGAGGGAGACACAGAATCAGAAACAGGCTCCAGGTTCTGAGCCATCAGCCCAGAGCCTGACGCGGGGCTCGAACTCACGGACCGCGAGATCGTGACCTGGCTGAAGTTGGACGCTCCACCGACTGCGCCACCCAGGCGCCCCGAAGGTTTCCCACTCTTATCCGCCATTAGGAACTAAAGTTTCCCCTTCGATATGGGAGGCCTGTGGGTACGACCTCTAGGTGACCTGGATCCCTCCAATTTGTGAGCCACACGTTTGGACTGTATCAACCCTTAATCCTTAAGAGCTGTTCTGGTTTCAGCTGCCCCTTCCCACGTCCTTACTTCTACCCCTATCAGCCCTCGGGTGACATGAGGGGACGCCATGTCCTTAAGGACCTACTGTGATAGGAACTACAGACTGGTATCCCTGTTTGGGGTGTGCGTCTCCCCTCCCCCACCCGTATGGCAACCCCAGAGCCCGAGGCCGCCTGGAGTGTGGGTGCGTGGGCGGGTGCCCTCCCAGCAGAACCGGTCAGATCCTTGACGGTCATCCATTTGTGCCCCACTAAGCCTTCCTCTCCGTCCCCACCCCCCACCTAAAGCCTGGCCCCCTCTCCCAGCGGAATCTGGTTAGAATCCACGGGCTGCAGACTTCCAAAACAATCGTTGTATCTTTATTGACTTTTTTTTTTTTTCTGAATGCAATGACTGTTTTTTACTCTTAAGGAAAATAAACATCTTTTAGAAACAGCTCGATACACACAATCTTCAGTGTGAAGCAATATACTAATAAGAACACTAGTCGTCTTAACATTTACAGTCTTCATATATATTATATATATGTATATGTATACATATATATACACTATATAACGAGGCCAGATATAATACACACGTTTACCATTTTACAGTCATATGTACAGGAAGTTGCTAGGGCGGCCCCAGTCTGGGGGCTGCATCAGGCCTATCGAAGCGTGGACAGAGCTGAGGACACGGACGGACAGGCGGACGGACTGGCGGGGACTGGCTTGGGCCGGTGGTGGCTGCGCGGGGAAGGGGGGCGTCGCCGTAGCCCCCTTCCTGGCAAGGGCCCCGTGCTGAGGGACGCACGACGCAGGGCGGCGGCGACACACGGGAGAAGCGAGCATGTTCCCAACATATATACATTCTATGTAACATATATATAGAGGGGTACACAGGTTTGTACACGAATCTAGCGCTGTCTCTGCTCCCGTGCCGAGTGGGCGCTGCTGTCCCTGGAGACGGGTGGTCGTGCAGAGGGACGATCACGCATTCGCCAGAGGTGCGCTCTGGTCACCACTCCTTTTCTTTGCGTTCCCAGGTCGCGCTCCAGGGGTGGGGCAGAGGGCTGGAAAGGGGACGAACAGAAGCCAAAGGGGTGCCCCAGTCCCACCCACACCCGGGGAGCCCGCATCCCCTGAGCATGGGTCCCGGACTCCCCTGGCTCTGCCCAAACCGCACGAAAAGTTTTGGCCAAGGCTGGGTGGGTGGGAAGGGCTCTAGGACGCAATTCGAAAGGTTCCTTCCAAAGCCTTCGGCCTCCTCCCCCGCCGGCCTAGTCCTCTCCGGAAAGGTTTCGGCTCCCTCCCCACCCCACCCGGCCTCGGAGCCCGGAGCCGCCCTTGGCCACTTCCTGGGCCCTTTGGACCCCCACTCCCACCCCCGGGGCGCCCAGCTGCAAGCCGCGACCGGCTGCGGTGGCGGCAGCACCCACGTGGAATGTGTGCCACGTCGTCTTGGAACTACCAGGGGAGAAGCGTGTCCCCAGGCTAAAGGGGATCTCCAATCCCCGCCGGAACCTGGATGCCTCAAGGAGTCTGGCCGCTCCACGGGCTCCCTCTCTCCAAGCCTGGCCCGGGGGGGGTGCGGGCGGGAACGCCCAGTGTTGTCTTGTTCCGGAAGCAGGCGGCTCCAGAACGTGTTTTCTTCCCAACCCGGGACCGCAAGTTTCAGCCCTAGGGGCCAGATCCAAGATCCGGAATCCGGATCAAGGATCGGCTCTGGACCCGCGCTGGGAGCAGCTCAAAGGCCCGGGGGCTGCGCAGGCGGCTCCTCTCCTTCGGCGGCGGGCGGGCAGGCGGGCTTCGGCGGCTTCTCCCGCCGTTGGGGTGGATTACAACGGCAGCCTCTGCAGGGGAAGAGACGCCAAAGCGCCCGTTATTGCCGGTGGCGGACCAGCGCCGGGAGCGAATTCCTCCCAGCCCCGCCCCTCCCCACATGACCCCGCCCCCGCGTGAGGCTCCGCCCCTGCCCGCGCCTCCGGCGGCCCCGGGCGCGAGTATCGTTGGAGGCAGCGGAGCCTCACCTTAGGCCTGAACTTTTCTCTCCCCGCACCCTGCCACCGTCACCTCCGTGCCCGTCGTCCCGTGCCCCTGTCTGCCCTTACTGGCCCCCACCTCGGACGGCCCCCTCCTTCAGGACCTGCCTCGTTAGAAGGCGGTCTGACTAGCGCGTGCCCACCTGCCCCAAAGGCTGCGGATAAACCAGGAATAATGAAGTTTTGGAGACGGGCAGGTGGGGGCTGGGCCCCGCTGAGGGTCCGCAGGGCAAGGGGTGGAGAGAGGGAAGGGGCTCCCCTCCAGCCTGGACACCTTCCAGGGAAGGCCTGTGGTCACCTACCTTATGTTTGGGACACTTCAAAGAAAAGTTCTCTTCGATGAATATGCAACCTGCCACCAAAGAGAAGTTTGGGTGGTTAGGATGGCGGCAGGAGTCTCATCAGGGGGCCAGGCGGGGAGGGGGGCCCAGCGCCCACGAGACCCTAGGCTCCAGGGCTTTTTGCAAAAAGTAAAGCAGCCCATGCTTGAAACCCTCCCGGTCTCCACCCCATCGCGACTGAGCTGAGGGGCCTGTGTGCTTTTTGTTCTCCCCAGCCAGCCCCGGAAGGCCCGCTTGTCATCCCGGAGGACTTCCTGACTCCCTCCCTATGGCAGATCCCCTATGCGGGGGTCTCTCCCCTGCCCCTGCCTCACTTCACTCGGCCACGCTTGTCACTTCCTCCTACTGGTCTATGTGTCGGTTGCTTGCTCACCAGCCACTGGCACCTGTGCCGCTCAGAGCAGACACTCAGGATACGGGCTTGTCCCTGTGGGGGCCTCGAGGGGGGGAGGCAGACCTGAGTCTGGGGGCAAGGGGAAGACGGGACTGAGGTCTTGGGTCTGAGTGAATCCCAGCAGGCATCTGGGTGCCCTGGGCACTGCCCACCCTGGGGGAACAGAGAGGACGCTGAGCATGGCCAGTCCCTGATGCCCACCTCGGCCCAGGGGTGCACTCATAACAAGCTGCCACTCCACTGCCTGATGCCACCTAGGGAGGCCCCGGCTTCTCCCCCAGGAGCCCCCAGTCACCACCCCCTCGTCCCCTTCTGGGCTCACCCCCACCCCTACCCTGCCGGCCACTGCTCTGAACAAACCCCAAACCCATAAATAGCCGGAGGCCGGAGCTGGCCAAGCAAGGCCTCTCCTTCCAGCACATTCCTCCTGCTCACGCCGTGGCTCTGTGCCGTGGCATCACGGCAGCGTGGTGGCTGGTAGGCAGGGCGGGGAAGGGCAGGTCTGCAAGGCCTGAGAACAGGGCTGGGAACGCTCCAAGCCTGTGGCTGTCTCCCCTTTTTTTTTTCCGACCGACCGCTGCCAGAGCTGGGGAGCCTGAGACCGAAAACTGCCCACGAGGTTTGTGGACTCCAGGGCCAGCGGCTGGAGGCGGATCGTCAGTTTTTCCTCTTCTCTATGCTCCGACAGCCCAGACGCGGTGCCGGGACTGAACTCACACCTTCCAAAGAGCATTGAGCTAAAACCCCAGGCCTGCACATGTGATGTCATCCCCGCCCCACATCCCACTTCGGGCCCTACAGGCTCCGGGTCTCTGGAAGCAGAGGGCAGGAGGTCACCACTTCCAAAACCAGCTTGCTCAGCCACGCCCCCGGCATCCACCCTGGACGTGTGGAGGGGAACCACAGGACAGGGCCAGGCCACCTCTCCTGGTGTCTGCACCTGGGGACCTGGGGACCCAGCTGACAAAGTGGCTCCGGGGCCTGAGTGTGGAAAGGCTCAGACAGACCCGTGGCTTGCTGGCTTCTGCCAGTGATTCTGAGTCACTCAGCCCCAACGAGGTGGTCTTTAATGGGGTGGAAGGGACAAGGCTAGTGAGCCAGGGCAGAACGGGACGGCCCTGATGCCCTACGGTCTGAGAGCGTGACCCAGACATCTGGAGAGCCCCACGGGCCCCCGCTTCGCAGGCCCAAGGGGTCGGGTAGGTGGAAGGTGCCAACAGAAGCCTGGGGCTCCTGTCTGCCAAACGCTGGATGGCCTCCCCAGCCTCCTCCCCCAGTTCCTCTGTCTCCCAAGCCTCCCGCCTGGTCAGGGGGGCTGTGACCAGCCCTCCCTGCCGCCCGGAGGCTCACTTGTTCTCCCAGCTTCTCTGGCTGCTGCTCCTCCAGTGCCCGGGGCTCCACCCGCTCTCCTCTGCCAGCTGCTAAGTGGCGGTGCCCCCGCCCCCCCCCCCCCCGGCCCCTCCAGCGCCCTGACGAGCCCTGGGGCTGATGGCCAGCGAGCCTCTGTCCTGAGCCCAGCTGGGACAACTTCCCTTGTACGTCTGCTGACGCCTCAAATGCAACCTGTCCAGAGGGAAGCAGCCCCGTGTGGCGGACGGACAGACTGCCGGAAGAGCTCCAGGCCCCCTCCCTGGGCCACTATCCTCTGCGCTGTGGCTCTGTCGCTCTTCTCGGGCAGAAGAGGAATCCATCCTGTGAATCTGGGCGGGCTGGGGGACTCGGTTTGGCCAACCGTGTGGTGCTGAGCCTGGCCTGCGGGGGCACGAGAGGCCACGCGACCGCAGCCACCCAAGTCAGTGGCGAGGAGGTCCGCCAGCTGGCGGGAGCAGCGGAGCCCGCCGGCTGACCACGCCCTCGGCACAGACCACCGGGGACTGGCGTTGAAGCCGGGAAGCCGGGCCTGGGAGAGCCGGTAGCCGACACACCTTCGGCACACCCCTGTGCTGCCCCAGACCTGTCCCCTCCAACGTGGGGAAGCTGGATGGCAGGCTCCACTAAGGCCTGCACATTCAGTGCCAGCGAAGGCTCTGTCCGCATCAGCAGGTCTCGTCTCCCGCCGGGACAACCTCTGGCCCCGTCGGCTCTGGCTGAGCCAGTGTCTCATCTGCCCGGCTTCCAGGGCCCCTTCCCGTGGCAAGCTCTGGGGCTCTACACAGACCCCTATCATACGGGAAATCCTTCGAAGATTTCCTTTCGAGCGGAAGTGTATTGTGCCGGCCTGGTATGTACATCCCACCGCTAACCAGCTGCGGGGCACCTCCACTGACCTGGTGGGGCCGGGCTCCAATGGCACCTTCTCCTGGAAGTCCTCCTGGATTCCACACACACCCCCCTCCCCCAGCTCAGACAGGGTGACTCTGTCCCAAGGGACGCACTCTTCGCCCTTCCTGGTTGCCATAACTTTGGGCAAAGATCATGATTTTCCTGTCTGTCTCACTCAAACGGGAACCCCCGGGAGGTTCTGAACGGTACTGGGGTGGGAGAGAGAACACAGGATGGGGAGCAAGACAGGCAAAGTAGTCGCATCCTGGTCTGTCCTGCTGTGTGGCCATGGGAAAGGCAGCCTGTCTGTAAAGATGCAGCCCGGGAAAGCACAGGGGCCTGAGGCAGGGCCTGGCGCCCAGTGGGTGCTAAGTTAATCACTGTAGAAGGAGGGATGCAACTCGGGGTAGTTATCTATTACTGGGGTAAGGCCACGGGTCTGGTTAAGTGGCTGAGTCCACACTAAAATCTGGTTCTTGCTGCCCAGAGTAGGGCTGTGGAACGGGCGAGAAGCCCCACAGCCCGCTCCAGCCGGCCCCCTCCCTGCACGGTGCGAGCACCTCAGCCCTCGCCAAGGAACTGTCATCACTCAGTCCTGCGGGTGCTCCCGGGGGTGGCTTAGCTGGGGCTGCTGCTGGCCCGGGACCAAGCGGGCAGGTGGGGGCGCAGGGAGTGGTCCCCTCGGCCCAGGGCAGAGCCAGCAGGCATTCAGGTGGGGAGGAGAGGGCTCCAGGTAATGGGAGGACCTACTGGGAGACACCTCTGCTCCGTCATCCATGAGGCAGAGTCATTGATAACTTCACCCGGGTTCCAGGCTAGAGGCGGGGGTGGGGTGGGGGTGGGGGGGGAGCGGGGAGCAGGGGGAGGCGGCAGCCACCGTCCAGGGGACTGGCCCCAAACGGGACGAGGGATGCACCTCCCTGGGCAGCGTTCATTACTTGGCTCACTGCTCCGAGCAGCCGAAACAAAGAGGGATGATCCTAATCTCTGTTTTACAGATGGGGAGCCCACCTGCAGAGGCATCCACGAACCTCCCCAAGTCCACGCGGCAAGAATGCCACGGGGGTTTGAATCCGGGCCAGAGCTGCCTCTCAGTGACTACGGCTCCGCCATAAGCAGCCTCTTTTTTGGATGAAATCGAAAGACTGACTGTGAGCCTGGGTCTCCCTGCCTGCTCGATGAGGTTTGGGACTCCCGGATCTCTCCGGCCCATGCAGTCTGTCCTTCTGTGTGCCTGGGTCACAGTGGGTGCTCATAAACGCTCATGCAACAGACGAATGAGTAAGAGGAGAGAATGAGGTGGGTGAGGGTGCAGGGGAAGCCTGATCCTGTGTCTAGACCCCAGTGTCCTGCTGAAAACCTACAACCGTTGCCTGTAGCCAACGGGAGGGGTTTTTTTGTTTGTTTGTTTTTTTATAAGTAGGCTCCACGTGTGCAAATGGGGCTGGAACGCACAACCCCGAGATCAAGGGACCTATGCTCCACTGACTGGGCCAGCCAGGCGCCCCCAATAGGAGTGTTTTGAACCCCATCTCCTCCTACCTCACTTGGTGTTTGCTGAGGTCTGTATCTCCCATCTTTCTTTACCCAGTGAACTCCTATTCAGCCTTCAAAGACCCAACCCCAGTACCCCTGTCTCTCTGAGGCCGGAGATCCTCCCCAGCCCCTACCACTCCTAAGCACTGATAACTCCTGAGCTAGCCCTCCATCCTGTAATGCATGCCTCTGGGCATCCCTCGAGCAGGTGGCTCGGGACTGGTTCCTCTCTGTGGCCTTAGCATTGTCCATCATGGGTCCCAGGGGAGAGACAGCTGAGAAAATAAATTGCTGGGGCAGGAGAGGGGGGCAGCCAAGGCGTGAACTGGGGCAGGGTTCACGGAGCGGGGTGCCCGGGTCCCCCTGGGCTGCTCAGGTGGGCCTCCAGGGCCTTCCTGTCCCCTTGGGCTGGCTCTTACCCGCATCGCTGGCACACGGGTAATGGTAGGTGTGGGTGCATCCCTTGTGACAGCACCCGATGGTGGCCCCGGCTTCTTGGCAGCTGGAACAGGTCTGGTGAGGAGAGAGGGAAGACGGGTGAGTCTAGGGCTGAGGAGCCCGGCAGGCGGGCTTTATAGACAGGCTCTCCCACGGACCCCACGTCCTTTCCCCCGAAACGCTCCCTGGACATCGGTGGGAAGGAGGGTCAGTATGGGGCACAAGTGCCCCCAAGGGCGATTTTGTGGCGGAATTCCGAGCTGTGCCTTGGACGAGGTGACCCTCTTGGGGCAGGAAAACGTCTAATCTCGTGGATAAATATCCGGGTCTAGGCATCACACAGACCTGGGTTCAAATCTCAGCTCCGCCATTCTGCCCCACATGACCTCGGCCGCTAACTCAAACTCTCCATGCCCCGTCTGTGCAGTGGGGACAGTGCCTCCCTTATGGGACAGTCGTGACGATTAAATAAGAGACGCCGTGTGCCCAGCAGATGACAAGGACTCGTGAGGCCACTCACCCTACGGCTGTGGCTACCGGCCAGCACTGAGCAGGTTTGTGTGTGCGAGGCACCGGGTGTGTCCTTACCCACTGGTTCCTCCCACCGGCCCTTCGGGCCGTAACTTTCACAAACCCCATTTTCTAGATGGTGAAACTGAGGCTTCCGCTCCAGGCAAGAGTGAAGGCAAGAAGCATTGCTTTCTACCCAGAAAGACACTCTCCCGCCCTTCGATGGGCCGTTCATCCTCGCCAGATCCCCGGAGAAGAGGACACAGCCAGTCCTGACATGCCAAGGTGATGTAAATCTCATGCGAGGCAGCACAGCGGCCAGCCCACTCTGCCCCACGCCCGGCCCACTTGTCTGAACAGGGACGTGGCCGGGACAGCTGGGCGATGCCAAGGAGGCGACGCAAAACGAGAAGCCTCACTGTATGGGTTGGGGAGTAGACACGGGAGGGCAGCGCAGCTGTGGCAGGACTAAGCTGTGGTTGCTAAGCTACCAACAGGTAACGGCAGCTTACGATGTGCCCCATGTGCCTGGAAGCAGCCTCCCCGTAACCTTATGTTGATATCCTCGTAATTCTACCCAGGTTACCAACGAGAGCTCAGAGAGGCTGATTAAACTGCCTGAGGGCACACAGCCCCTAAGTCGCCGAGCCGGGCTTTGAGCCCAGCTGCCCGGCTGGAGCACAGGCTGGCAATCACCCCCCCCCCCCATACTGTTCGAGGCAGGGGCTCCATGCCAGGTCCCTGGACTAAGACAGATCCCATCCCCAGCATCTGGGGGAGACTAGGAATGAGAGTCTTCTCCCACCTTCCTGGGGAAGATGCCCAGGAATGCGCCCTCTGGCCATCAAGCTGGGAGTGGGGAGGTGCAGGGATGGGGGCTGGGTATATTCTGGAACATCAGGTTTTCATACAATGCCTTTAGACGCGCAGTTTCCTTGCGGTCAGGGCTGAGATCTCCTGGGACCGTGAGGCCCCAAATTCCCTCAATTTCTGGCCCACAAGGAGGGAATAAGGCAGGACTGGGGCCCAAACCAGGGCTGCGCCCTCAGGGGTTTTGTCGCTTAAAGGACAACAGTCGCAGGAGCAGCCTCGCGCTACCATGCCTGCACCGTGTCCCCCCCTCCCCCAATCCCGAGTGGCACTGCAGACGTGAAGAAATCAAGGGACAGAGGGACAGAGGCCTTGGGCCCTTCTGACCATCACACCCAGGCTCTGATCCTCTGCTCCCCCAGCAGGGCTTGTGAACCTGACAAAGGACTCCAGGCTGGTGGAGAGAGAACCCGAGGTCCCAGGGGGTGGGCATGGTAGGGCTCAGGGACAGCAAGCCATGTGGGGGCTCTCGGGAGGGGACAGAGAAGAAACGGGGCTGCCCCCGAGGGGCCACACGGAAGTTCTGTCCCCCAGAGAGCAAAAGCGAGGCCAAGGTAGCAGCAGGTGTGCCGGGGCCTGGAGCCCTGATGCACAGGGCCCCTACTGCGTGCTGGGGAGGGAAGACCACCCCCACAGCCCCGCAACCCTGCGGCCCTGCCAGCAGGGTTTGGCCTCCTGAGGTTCACAGGGGGCAGTGACTTGCTGGAGTCACAGAACCTGCCCTCAGCAGAGCTGCGATTCAAACCCGGGTCTGCGTCTCTCTAAGGGAGTGTGCTGCCACTGAGCTGTCCAGGCAGCAAGAGGTCTTGGTGGGGACAGGAGGCCTAGGATGCCCGGGCTATGGGAGCAGGGGGCATGGAGCCGTGCCCCTCAGAAGTCCCAGAGCCTGCCCGTCTCTCCAGAGTGTTCTGTGGCACGGTCTGCTCCTCCAGCTGGGGTGGGGGTGGGGTGGGGGGCTGCCTTAATGATCCCCTCTGAGGCTCACAAGCCCTGGCCTGGCTGGACCATCTCTGGCTCAGCGGCCCTTCAGATCCCATCTGAGCTGCCTCCGGTGAGGGAGGGAGGTGCGGCCGGCGAACGGCAAGTGCCTGCTGCTGTGTGTCCTTGCCGCGGCCCCGTCCCGACCTTCCTGGGGAGGCCCCCGGTGGTGCCAGGCTACCACACCGTTTTTGGCATAGGGCACAGCGGGCAGAGATGGGTCGACCGGGCTGACTTCCAGCTCCAGGACTCAACAGCCGCGGGACACCAGGAAGGCACGGCGCTGCTCTGACCCCGGCTTCCTCGTTGGCCCAACAGGACTCGCGTGCGGGTCCGCGAGGGGAGACCAGGGCGCCTGGAACAGGCTGGGGCACGTGGGGAGCTTACCCACCACGATGGGTGCAGGTGGCTAGGAAAAGGCTGGATCAGGCCCCGGCTCAGAGAGGCAGCACAGGCAGGCCAGAGCCGCGTGGGGGTGGGCGGGCCATGCGTGCTGGAGGGGGGAGGCGGTGATCTGAGGGTATTACTTTTTAATGATGGGAGAGACTTGAGCCTATGTCAGACAGGTTGGGCAGGAGCCGGGAGCCAGTGACAGAGAGAGAGAGAGAGAGAGAGAGAGAGAGAGAGAGAGAGAAGGAGACTGGGAAAGAGGAAGACAAGAAACTAGCAGGTGTCCTGTTGGGAACTGGGGTTGCCTCAGTCAGGCTGGAAGCCTGGGCGCGGAGAGGTCTCTAACCACGCCCCCGGGGCTGTGTAAGGTCTGGTGCAGGAAAGGAGGGGAGGCTGAGGCCCTCAGGCACAGGGGCGGGTCCCAGTGGCTGGGGGTGGGGACCCCCAGCACAGGCAGTAGGAGGGGGTGGGCAAGAGCACAGGCCTCAGGAACAGAATGCTGGCCCCACCACCACGTCCCGGGCACATTCCGCCGACTGCCACCAGGCAGGCCTGAGGGGGCTCCAAGATGTGCCCCCAGCTGCCTGCTCACTCCGGCCGCCCGCACCCCTCAGAAGGGAGCGTGAGGAGCAAGATCCCCCGGTAGCCGGACTGGAGGCATCACCTAGTGTGATGTGGCCCAGCCGCTATCACTGGGCCTAGCAGAGAGCAGAAGACGGTCGGCGGGCACTGAGGCCAGGCACGGCTCTGACAGCTTCACGGGCACGAACCCGCTCGGGCCCCACAGCCCCTCCGCGGCGGGGAACCACCCTGCCCGCGTTAGAGAGGAGGACACGGAGGCACAGAGGGGCTGAGCCCCACGCCCAGAGTCACACGGTGCGTGACGGGCGGTGCCGGGGTCTGAACCAAAAAGCCAGCCTGCGTTCTTGCTTACGGATCTGTGACTGTTCCTCAAGGAGCATTTTGTGACTGTTCCACGAGAGGTTCCCAGACCACCCGGCCCTGGGAGGGGGACGCATCCCAAATACCTCCCGAGAGGCTCTTTCCCTCGGCCCGTGCTCCACCTCAGAGGCCAAGGAGACACGTACTGGAAGGGGGGCACCTGCTTTTTTTAAGGCTGCCCGGACGTTCAATTCTGGGAGGCTGCCTGTTTTGGGGGGGGGGGGTCTTGGCGTGTCAGCTGATGGCACGAGACGGGGCCAGGTGGACTGGGGGTTGGGGGTGGGCGACGGGAGCCCGACGGTGGGTGTCAGGTGTGTGTATGGGGGAGGGGCCGGGCGCCGGGATGGGCCGGGTGCTGAGGGGCTGAAGCTGCAAGTCCTGGACAGGGGTGGGCGAGCCCGTGCTGCCTCCGTCTCGACTCCACCCCCAAGCGCCTCACACGTGAGTCTGTGATCGTGGGTGTGTTTGGCCCAAACCGTGGCACTGGAGAGATGAGGGGGGATTCCCAACTGCCTGCCTGCCTGCCTGAGCTGCGGACCCTGAGCTCCCGCACCGCAACCGGGCTGGCCTCTTACCATGTCCACGGCCACCTTCATGGCCTCCTGCAGCCCAAAGAGCTTCCCGGCTACCAGGTAGACCCCGCCCGTCCACACGGCGCAGGCCTCGTGCACCCAGTGCTCCTGGGTGTCCCCGCCAGGCTCTGCCGGCGGCTCCTTACTGCACTCATGCTTGCGGCTCTTGTCAGCTGGGGCCACCTCCTCGCCCCCATCCCCCCGACCGTCGCAGCAGTAACAGCTCTGCAGCCGCCGGGACAGGCCCCGGGCGCTGGTGCGCAGGGAGCCCTGCTTGGCGGGGTCGGCCGGGCCGTCGGGCCTCGGGGCTTTTCCAGGGGCAGCGGCAGCTGCACATTCAAGGTCTTTGAGTGTTCTCTCGAGGGGCGGCGAGGCCTCCCCACAGGTGCCCTCCGGCCGCACCTTCTCCTTGAGTTTTGGCTTCTTTTTGGGGAGGCAGTGTTCGGGGTAGTAGGGCCCACAGAGGTCCCCGAGGTCCTTGAAGTTGGCCGGGTTTTGGCAGAGGCAGCAAACAAGGCAAGAGGTACTCAGGGCCTTGGAAACCACGGGCCCCAGATGCATGGTGGAGGACAGGGGCAGGGAGGGGCGTGGCTGCAGGACAGAGCCTCCAGGGAGCGTGGCCAGGGAGGCCCCGGTCGCATCCAAGGAGAATGAGCACGAGGATGAGGAAGAGGAGGCAGAGGAGGAAGGCTTCCTGTGGGGCTTGGGCTCCTCCCCCGGGGAGTTGACAACAGTGCATATGGTGGTGAACGCGTCTCTCTTCTCCACCCGCACAAAGGGCGAGAAGGCCGGGGTGCGGCTGTCTGCTCGAAGCCGCTTGCAGGAGGAAATGTACTTGAGGCGGATTTCAGGCTCTGCGGGATCCAGGGGCAGCACCTGCTGCTGCCGCCGCCGCTTGGCACGCCCCTTACAGGGGGAGGAGGTGGTGTTCTTGGCCCGGCCCCGAGTGAGGCGCTTTCGCTTGGAATAGCTGCTGTAGTTGGCATGGCCCGGCTGCTTCTGCGCCCTTGTCTGGGGCTGGCAGGGCCGGCCCTCAGGGGACTGGGAGGCCAGGCCCAGCTCCTCTGTCTTTGGCTTCTTGCCTCCTCCACCAGAGCTGTCCTCACCGCCCCCCTGAGTGCCATTGGCCCTGTCTCGGGGAGTCAGGAGCAGAGCCGGGCCTAGGTGGGGCCGCTTCTCCAGGGGACCTTTAGGGAGTCCGAGGGCTCCGGCCCTGCCTTTCCGGCTTCTCTTCTTAGGCGCCAGGGCAGTCCCCCCGGGCAACAGGGCCTCCGGGGACGTGAAGGCCTCAGTTTTGAAACAGTCAGTCGAGGACAGTTTCTTACTGTTCAGGAGTTTGCCTTTTAAGGATCTGTTGGTTGGATTTCTGCATAACGGGTCGGCCCCCGAAGCTGCTGGGAGCTTCTGCCCGGTGCCCACATTTAAGAGACCTTCGCCTGCCCCAACTGGGCTGCCCCCGGCGCTCTTGAGCCCTCGGTCCTTCTCAGGGAGAGATGGGCTCAGAGGATTACCAGGAGGGGCCCCTGGCGTTTTGCACGCAAACTTTTTCAGGCTGGGCGAGGTGATCTTCTGCACGATGGCCTCCAACTTCAGGCCCCGGCCTTTCCGGGGCGGCAGCACCTTGGTCTTCATGGCCCCCTGGAAGGCCGCCCGCGAGGCGAGCTTCAGGCAGGCATCCGGGGTCTCCGGGGGCGGGGGCTTCACGGCGGGCTCACCGTTGCCCTTGGTGGGCTTGGCCTTCTTGGGGGAAGACATCCTCTTGAAGAGGGTGGAGGAGTCCTCGGCTCCCTCCTCCTTCACGTCCCCCCCACCGCCGCTACGCAAAACCAGGTTCCGCTTCTTGGTGGGGACAGGCGCCATGAAGGCGGACTTCCTTTTGAGTGAGTGGAGGGGCCGATCGGAGAGCTTGCTGCCTGCCCCGGGCTTGGGGACCCTCGCCCGCTGGCTGGCCCTGCCCTCCTTCTGGGGGCTGCCGGCGACCTTGAACGTGGCGGGCAGGTGGTTGTTGGCGAGGAGCTTCTTGGTGGCACGGCAGTTGGGGAGCCGGCTCTCTGAGGGCCGCCGTCTCTTGGAGTGGAACACTTCCTGGGTTTTCGTGCGGGACCGCAGGATCATGGAGCGCTGGTCCTTGCCCGGGGTGCCGGGCGAGTCTGTTTCCTTGGTCTTGGAGCCCATGGGGCTGCTGTCGGAGGCCACGGGCAGGGCGGCCGGGTTACTGGGGCTGGATGCCGCCTTGGGTGACGGCTTGCCCACCCGCTTGCCAGACTTGAAGGCGGCTCGCTGCTTGCCCCCCAGTTTGTCTGGGGGCGCGGGGGTGGTGGTGAGGCCCGGGGGTCCAGGTGTGCGGGGCTCACTCAGGGCCGTGAAGGAGCGTGTGCACATCCTGGGGAGCCCTTCTGAGGCCCCCCGACCCGGGGCCCCTGCTCCTTCCATCTGTCCCTGGGGGGGCCCCGTGCAGGATTCGGGGAGCAGGAGGTCCTTGGGCAGCACAGGTGCCCTGCACGGGGAGTCCTCGGCCTCGGGCAGCCCCCGGTGCACCCGCCGGCTCCGTAAACTTTTGCCGCGCGGCACAGGCTCTTTCTTGGCAATGGGAGCCTCGGGCACAGCGGGCTTGTTCGGCTTCTGGGCCAGGGAGGCGTCCGGGGCCAGGGTGGCGGAGTCCCCTGGAGCCAGCGCCCCGTCGGGTCCTTCTTCGCCTGGCTTCATGTGGGACAGGGAGGACTCGAACCAACTCTGGACCTTCGACTCCGCGCCCACGGTCGGGCCCAGCAAAATGACAGACTCCCCGGAGAGGTGGCACGGGGAGCCCCAGCCGGCCTTGGTGTCCAGCACCCCCTCCACCTCCTCCTTGGTGCACATCAGCGGGGCCTTCGGCGACAGCGGGTCCTGCATGCCGGGCCTCTGCTCGGGGCTGCCCAGGAGCTCACACAGGGAGGAGTACTCCTCCTCGGCCTCCAGGTCGTCTTTCCTCCCGGTGGGTGGCAGCAGGGGGAGGTCCCCGAAGTCGGCCGCCGAGCAGCAGTGCCGGCCCTCCTCCAGCCACCTGTCGGCCTTGCCCACCTCCGGGCACTGCAGCAGCCCGCCCACCTCCTCCTTCACCCCGCCCGCCTCCTCCTGCTCGGAGTCCCGAGGCACCGTGGCCTTCTCCCCGGGGGGGTCCTCCTCCTGGAAGACCGGGCAGGCCGAAGCCTCGTGGGCGTTCTCCTTGCCCACGCCATCTGAGGCCTTCCCGCCCTGCTCCAGGCCCTTGGTGAGCTCACTGGGGTGGAGGCCCCACCGGGGACAGGCGTCCCCCAGGTTTTCCTCGGGCCAGGCAAAGGGGTTGGCGCCGTCCGCGGAGCCGGCGGCGGTCGTGTCCGGGAAGCAGTCAAAAGCCGCGGCGGCAGGGTCCGACACCGCGGCCCCCAGGGTGGGCTTGCTGCTGAAGGAGAGGGGACCGGCCGTCTTCTTGGGGTCAGGGGTGGCGAAGCCCACAGAGGGGTCTTCAAACAGCCCCGGGCTGAAGTCCTTGGCGCTGCCACCCTTGTCCAGCTGCAAGGACTCGGGCAGGGCCTCCGGCTCCCCTGGCCGCGGCCACGCGTTCTTGGCCACGGAGTCCAGGCAGGCGCTGTGGTTCTCCAGCGAGAAGGGGGGCTTGCCGGCGTCCTTGGCCAGGCCGGGCGGCTCGGCCCAGGCCTTGTCGGCCTTCTCGCCGATGGCCTCCTGCAGCCCCAGGATCTCGGACGCCAGGTCCTCCTGCGCCAGGGCGCTGAGCAGCAGCCGCGGGCAGTCCCGCTCGCCCGCCACGAACTTGGAGAAGCTGTCGAGCGGCAGGCTGCTGTGCAGACTCTGGAAGGAGTCGTCGGACTTGGTGGACATGTCGTCGGGCGACGTCACGGAGCAGGTGGACACGGACTCGGGCTTGGCCTTCGAGTTGCTGTTGACCCTGGCAGGGCTGCCCCGGGCCTGGCTGCAGTAGAGGAAGCTGCGCTCCAGCGGATCCTCGGAGCCGCTCAGGTAGTCGGCCTCGGGCGGCTCGGCGTGCGTGGACTGCGGCGTGCTGCTCAGCGGCTCGGACAGCGGCGTGCCTGCCGGCTCGGCCGAGTAGCCGCTGCCCTCGGGGCTGCAGTGCTGGCTTTTGTGCTGTTCCGGGGTCCTGGACACCAGGTTCTTGACGCCCTTCTTCTGCGGCACGGCCGCCTTGGAGAGCAGCAGCTGCTGGACCGTGTTGGAGATGTTCTCCACCTGCGAGGTCAGGGCCGTGAGGCTCTGCAGGCTGAGATCCGACAGCAAGTTCTCAGGCAGCTTGTCCTTCTGCAGCGGCTTGCAGTTGCCAGCCTGGCTGTCTACCGAGCCGGCGGCGTCGGTCGGGGAGGGGTTGAGCAGGGGCATGAAGTGGCTGTGGTCGGCGATGCCGGCGGGGAAGGCCCCGGTGCCGAGCGCCTGCTGGTTGTAGGGGAAGTTCTCCAGGTTGGGCATCAGGGGCGACGGGGTGGAGCTGTAGGAGGGGGAGCGGCCCACGGAGCGTGCGGGCGAGTGGCTGGAGCTGGGGCTGAAGGTCTGATAGTACTGCTCCGGAGTCCTGACGGCCGCGTCCGGCTGGCAGTAGCCAGGGCCTTGCTGCCCGTAGTGTTGGTACTTGGCGAGGTTTTGGTAGTGGAGGGTTTCCTGGGCGTGGTGCCGGCTCTGAAGGGCCTGCTGCTGCTGCTGCTGCTGCTGCTGCTGCTGCTTCTGTTGGTCGTAGCTGAGGCGGCCGGACTGGTAGGCGTGAAGGTTCTGGACCCGCTGCCCCGGGGCCAGGCTGGCGGTGGCGGTCAGCGGCCTGTCGTGGGGCTGGGCGGACGGTGCGGTGCAGCTCTTGTAGGAGTGGGCGCCCTGCCCGCCGCCGCCCTGGCCCGGGGAGGAGTAGGTGGAGGAGGCGGGGAAGGACTGCGTGTGCTGGGGGAAGTGGCCGCCCTGGGGGAAGGGCAGAGGTGAGGCCATGTCGTTCTGCAGCTTCTGCCTTTGGAGTTTGGGGTACGCCAGGGGCTGCTGGGGCTGTGGCAGCTGCTGCTGGACGTGCAGGGAGTGAGTCCGAAAGGGCAGCTGGGCGCCCTGCTCTGGGTACTGCCTGCCGGGGGGCACCGCGGCCTTTTTCATCAAGTTGTCCTCATATTTGCCCACCCCCCCTGGCAGGGGCTGCGGCTGGGGGGGCGGCGGCTGGGGGGCCCCCCAAGCCTGCAGGCTCTCCTCACCCGAGTAGCGGCCGGGGTACGGGCTGCTGTCCTGCACGCTGTAGCCCGAGAAGGCCGGCCTGCCCTGCAGGGACTGCTGGGAGGGGAGCCCCTTGCTGCCCCGCGCGGTGGCCGCGGCGGCGGCCGAGCCTGCGCCGCCCTCGTAGCCCGGGTACGGCTGCGGGTTATAATAGTCCTTGGCCAGCAGCCGCTGCCGGTCACAGCTCAGCCCGGCCTGGCTCGGCTGTCTGTAATTCTCCAGGCGAGATGTCTCCTGTGAGGTCTGCTGGTAGTTCTGTTGTTTGCCATGGAAACCACACCTTTCTCGAAAAGACTGCATGACTCGGGCTGGTTATCTGTGAAAAGAGAAAGGGAGAGAGGGAGGGGGGGCGGGGGGGGGAAGGGAGAGCGATTCAGACGGGCCATTTCCCTTCCCCTCAGAACGCCTGCCTCCCACCCCTCTCCCGCCCTGCCCTCTCCCCGCAGCTCTTGACGGTCTCCCCTTTGCCTGAGCCTCCCCACCAGCTGTGCACATATTGACAACTTCTGTGTCAGGGAGGTGTGCTCTGTAATTCCCGCTCCGACATCGCCCGCTGCCAGCTGAGCCTTGCCAAGGATGGCCACCGCTGCGGGAGGCGCCACCCCACCCTGCTCCCAGCCAGCTCCTCCCCTCCACGCCCCCCACCCCCAGCACTCCCAGCGCTTCCCTGCTGGCGTAAGTAAAATCGTTTAGCAGAGCAATCCCGCTCCCCTGTTCCCCCCCCCCGCCCCGGGGCCGCCTGGGTCCTGCAATCCAGTCCCAGCGCGGCAGTGTTCAAGTGTGACCCAGCCATGCAGGGACCAAGGAAGGTTTGCCCCTGCCCAGAGAAGCTACTCACCAAGGCCTGTGGAGAGAGAGAGAGAGAGAGAGAGCGCGCGCGCGCGCGTGCGCGCACACACACACACACACACACACACACAGACGCGCGCGCACAGCCCGCGCGCGCGTGCACACACACACCTCCTCTATCACTGCCATGCCATCTGGAATCTGTCTGTTCCTTCTAGCAGACGTCGATTAGGGGCTGTGGAGCCATTGTAGGCATAAAACGTCCCCTTCTCTGACTCCCAGTAACGCAGGACAGCGGCACCTGCCTCCTGTTTTTGATATCATAGGTGCGTAAACAGATTACGTGGCCCAGAGTGAGGAAGTGCATGCTAATGGGGGACACAGCCGCAGTCCCTTGGCCACGGAGGAGCGCCCCACAGCTGGGTGTGACGCAGCCCCAGCCCTCCTGGTCGGCCCCTCCCGTCTCTGACTCTGCAGGGTCAGGATCAGGGCACACCAGGCCAAGAACCCATCTGGTTACTATTTTAGGGGCTCGCGCCCCTGGTGAGGTCCAACCAGCCCCAAAGCAGGATCTTGGATCAGGAAATGACCCCGGAGAAGGAGTGGGCCCTTCAGGGCAGGGCAACCGGAGTCACAAACACAAGCTGGCCCAAAGCATCCAGGCTAACGGTCCCCCTGACTGACAGGGGGCCAGGTCACCCCAGCAGACCCTCAAAGGAGGGAGGGATGGAGACAGGAGCGAGGAATGTTCCAGGCTCAAGAGAAATCACATCAAGGAGTCCGGCGTTCAGCCAGAGGCCCGGGGGGGGGGGGGGGGGGGTCAGGATTTAACCCACGACTGTGCCGCTGGTGGGTGAGCCGAGAGGCAGACAGAAAGGTCCAGGCCCCCAGAGGGGCACCAGGGACTTTCCAGTTCCCAGCCGTTCATTCCCAACACCGAAAGAGGAAGGGGTGGCCTGCCGGGGGCCACAAGCTCCCAGAGTTATAGGAGGGACCAGAAATGAAAAAGAGACACAGAGGAGAGACAGACGGACGGACGGACGGATGTGTGCAGATGTGAGAACGAGGAGAGAGAGTGATGAGGAGTGGGGGATGGGGGCTCCCCCAGGAGGTCCAGCTCACTCCTCAGCTCTTCCCCTGGATCCCACTCAGATTCCTTTCTCAGTGCTGGGGCCCGGGGAGGGGCTCCCTCCGGCCGAGCAGGGCCAGTCTGGGGCTGTCAGAGCCCCCGGAGCCCTGTTAGCACGGCCCAGGCCCACCTCCCCTGACCTCGGCAGTCAGCTGGCCCTGACTCGGGGACAGAAGGCCCTGGCTGCAGACGGGACCAGTGTCCCACAAGGCAAGCCCCTTCCCGCCGGGCCCATCAAAGCCAGCAGGCCCCTGGCAAACGCAGCCCTGCTCCTTCCCTCCCGCCTCTCCCTGGATTTATCACAGGCACCCCAACAAGGAAAAACGCGCCCGCGCTTCCGACCCACTTCAATCCCATCCCTGGCGGCTGGGATCAAACGTTACAGGGGGTGCCTGCTGTGACACGCCAACCCAGAGGAGCGGGAGGTGTCGCCTGGCCCCGTGCCTCCTGACCTGACCTTCCAGAGAAGGCTGCCGGGCGGGCGGCCCCCTCCCATGCTCGGGCACAGGAAATGAGCAGGCACGCAACTGGCTGGCAGCAGCCGTCACTTTTATTCGGGTGTCGCTGGCTGGCAGGCAGTGGCGAGGAAGGCCCGCTCCCGAGGACATCCTACGGCGCTCTGCCTCCCCGGCCTGTGTTTATGAGCCCGAAACGCGCAAACCCAGGACCACTCTGGAGGCTGCGCCTCGTATATCTGCACAAATTACATTTCGGCTTTTATTAGTCCCAGATCGCTCCCATTTCCTGCTGAGTGTCCTGTGGATATCATTAACATTTCTACAGCTTTTTTATTTTTTTATTTTTTATTTTTCTTCACATTCTCCAAAATGCATTACCAGAAACATTACTTAAAAAGAGAGAGTACGAGGACCAGTGTCCGCCCCCCCCACCTTTAATCAGTCCAGCTGCTGCGTCTTTTAATTTAGCCGAGCCGTATTAAAGGCGGGTTTCCCAATACACGAGCAGCTGGATGCGGTGAAAGCATCTATCTCTAAGAAAAGACAGTTCAATTAAAATACGAGAAGCCCAGTGCCTGATGGAGAACGCAGGCAAAAATGCTCACCCCAACACCACCCTCCAACCCCAGGCGGCGGGAGGGGGAGAGGGAGGGCTGCGGGAACAAAGGCACGGCATCAAAGCCGATGCCGGTCTCGGTCTCTGTGAGCCAACAAGGTCCGCTGGATCTGCCGGGAGAAAATGGGGCTCTGGCTCTTTAAGAGCTGCCTCAGGCCTGCCACGGGCTCTGTTGTTATTAATTATTATGATTATGATTACTTTTCAAGAGCACTAGGAAAGGACAAGCAGGGGGAGAGAGGCAGGCGGCAGGCAGGGGTGGGTGGCACCAGGAGGGGGGGCAGAGAGAGGCCCCTTTGGCAGAGAGATGGTGACCTCTGAACCCACCCGGGGAGGGCAAGAGGGGACAGTGGGGGGAACAGCCTGGGGCGTTGGGCCTCTGTAGGTTCAGCAGGAGGGAGAAGGGGTGGGGGTCGGGGGAGGGCACCCTCCTAACACATCCTCAGGGGGCTCCCTCTGGGCCAGCCCAGCCTCCCCATCCTCGCCTCCCCCACCTGCTTCTTGTGGACACTTGGTCAAGGCCTGATCTCTGAAGTTCTCGAGGGGAAGGTCAGTCTTGAGTGTCCTCTAGGCACCAGACCGCAATGCTTATGACAGAAGTCCCTTATAACAACTCCTGGAAGTTGGTTTCCCCGGCCACTGGACTGAGCGTGTCAGGGACAGGCACGCTCTCGAGGCCACACACAGCACAAAGCTGGTTCAAGGACCCGGCCCTTGCAGCCAGTGCCCCAGGACTTCCTTTAGCACAGCAATGGGCCTCACTGCTCCTCCCCGCTCCATTTCCACAGCCATGAAACTGGAGGGGTGGGGGTGGGGGTGGGGGAGATGAGCCCAGGCCTCTCGGCTCCCAGCCAAAGGCACTATAGGTCCAAGGGCGCAGGGGCATCCTTTGGCCCTGGGTGCTTAGTCTGTGCAGGTTTGCTCAGTGCACGCTTTGACTATTCTGCCCTTCTAGAGAAAAGGGTGAGGTTCAGAGGGCAAGAGACCTACCTTCGAGCCCACCCACAGCGAAGTCCCCTTTGTGGGATGCCTGCAGCGGCAGCTGCGACCAGACCAAGGGTGCACGTCCCCTCCCCTGGACCCCACACCAAGAACTCCCACCTAGAGGAAGGCATCTCGGAGTGTGACAGCAAGAAGGTGCTGCAAGGGAAGGGCAGCGGTCCCCTCTGCAGCATGTGAGGCCCTGGAAACCAGGGCAGGACCCCCCTTTTATTCAGGGAGCCAGACCCACCTTAGGGAGGTCCACTCATGAGCAGCGGTGCTCACTGGCCTCCCACTATCACCATGCTAACTGCTTGTCCCTGGGCCCACAGCCCCTCCAGTTCCCCAGGGCAGTCCCCCTGGTCAGGGACACGGGCACCATGTGGGCCAGGGCGGCCACGGCCCCCACAGGGGACCTGATGGAACCCAGCTGGGAGGCTGTGGCTGGAGGTTTTCCTGAGAGCGAGGGGTGGTGGGAGAAAGGAAGGGTGGGGAGATGGAGAGGAAGAGAGAGGAAGGAAAGGAGAGAGAGAAGGAAGCTTTCTGTTTCCCAGCAGCGGCTCTGAGGCCACTGGTTCCATCCCACCCACTTATCCAAGGTTGTTTTATGACCCGGTTTCCTGATTTGTAGCTGCAGGAGAAAAATGTAAAAACCCAACCCACTCAAGGCCTGGGAACCAGGAAGGAGGAAGTTACCTGGGTCAAGAGGCTGGGGATGGGGCCGGGGGGTGTCCAGGGAGGAGTGAAGAATGTAGGACCACCTCAAGCCTCCCCATCTGCGGTGGGTAATGAATACTAAATATGAAGCCTTGATTAAAATGATAAATCACTAGCCAGGTTTCCTGCTGTCCTGTGGGGTCTATCTTGAATACTAAGGGCCTGGCTTGAACAGGGGAAGGGACGAGCTCCCAAGGAGCACACAAGACAAACAGCCCAGTCCCTGCAGGCCCCTGGGACAGGTTAGGGTCCTCGGGCCCAGGGGCTCGTTGGGAGGGAGGCACTGGAGCCAGCTGGGAGAGCCCTGCCTGGGGCACAGGGGAACGATCCTGGGGCATAAAGAATCCCAGAGAACAAGGCAGCCCCACCTCAAAGGATGGTCTCTCGGGACCACCTCATGTGGGCGCCCCCCCCAACACACGTGGCATGCACCCCTTCTCATGGTGGGCACCCATGTGTGCTCTTGGAAGAACCCAATCCACCATACCCCTCTACAGGCCTTGGGTGGGAGGAGCTGGGGGCTGGAGGCCCTGAATATTAGGCAAGAAGGACAAGAAACTGGAAGGCTGCCTCAGCATGCTCTCCAGACATCAGGCGGGTCCCCAGCCAGGCTCTGTAGCTGCGACTAGGAGCCCCCGGTGAGGCGGGGATCTCAGGGCTCTTTGGAGGAGGTCTGAATAGGGAGCAGAGGCTTTTGGACACTCCAGACGTTTGAAAAGCCTTCCCTCAAAGCCCACCGACGTGGTCTATTCCAAGGACCCAGCTGCGGAAGCCCCAGAGGCCCTCCTAAGTCCCTCGAATATCTCGTCCTCAGGGTCTAACCCACCAGGAGGTCGCCCCACCCGGCCCTGGAGCACAGGCAGGGTGTGTGAAGTGTGCTAACTCCTGGAAGCTCCAGGCCCAGCTAGGAAGCCACAATACCATTTCCAGGAGGAGTCACCGCGGGAGTCCCACAGCCCAGCGACTGGGCAGCAGAAGCCAGATCTCAACTTGGGTGCCTGACTTCTAAAGCTGAGCCCCACTCCGCACCCACACCCCACTGCCCCATGGTGTGGTTTCTGGGATGCGGTGGCCAGCAGGCCCACAGATCTGGGCCGTCGGGGGTCGGGGGGGGGGCACGGTCCAGGTGTGGTGAAGGGGCAGATGGCCAGCCAGCCCTCCCCCACTGGGAGCTGTGGGGGTAGCAAGAAGGGATTCAGCAGCAGCTGTGCCCTTGGTACTCCAGAGCCCCCCTGGGTGGGGAGGGCTCAACTATTCTCAGCTCCGTACTTACCAGTCTCTTGTGGACAGTAATTGTTTTTAGATCATCTTATTCACCATTCAAGAAAAACAAAATCACCACCTCTCCCCATCGTCAAAATGAGGAGCAGAAAAATGGGAGGTATTGACTGCTGAGATGCAAACAGCTAAGAGGCCTGGGGTCTGGTGGCCCACACATTCAGGGACCCACAGGGGGTCTCCCAGTCTGCTCTGCTAGCCTCTCCACCAAACCCCCAGAAGTCCCTGGCCTTGTAGGCAACTGCACAGTGTGGATATGACATTGGATCTGTGTGTCTGCTGGCTTTGAGGGGAGGCAAAGGTGGCGAGAGAGAGCCCAACCTCTCACCCCAGCTTGTCCCATGTGCCCCAAGGGACCATCACTTCCCTGCGGAAGTGGAAGCACCAAGGCCCCAAGCCAGTGGCCTGTGCCGCTGTGGACTCTGTGGCTTTGGGCAAACCTTTTCGCCTCCCCGGGCCTCAGGGCCTTTGCACTGGCTGTTTCATCTGCTAGGAATACCATTCTGATATCTACATAGCTTGCTCTTCGACTCTAAGCCTTTGCTCAGGTCACCCTCCCCGGTACCCCTCTCTGACCACTGTGCTTGGAAGAGCACCCCTTGCGCTCCTCCTCCCCTGCTTCTATCGAGTGCTCCCCTCCTTTTAGTACGCCATGTGGCTGGCGGGCTTTATGACTGGTCTCTCCTCTTAGAACTACAGTTCCGTGAGAGCAGGCATTTTGTCCGGTTTTGTTCGCAGCTACATCCCCGTATCCCAGAACAATAAATATTTGTTGAACGAATAATGTGTAAATGTGACATTAACTCTAGAAAATACCCAGGACAAGCAGTCGATGGCAAAACGAATGCCGGGGTGGGGGTGGGGGTGGGGGTGGGGGCGGGGCACGGGAGGCTTATCGCCACAACTCCTCATTCATTTGACAAGGAACAATCTCCTTCGGGCCTGGCAGGCGATGCCCGTGAGTGAAGTGAGCAGGTGGGGACGGAGGCAAACTAAGGGTCCTGGTCCCAAAGCGAGGGGGAGCCCCACTGAACTCCAGAGCTTCTGAGTTGTATTTCACATATATATGTGCATTTAAAGGGAAGTCTCACCTTTTAATATATGCTATCAACCAAGTAAAAAGTCTTAACACCCAGAGTTCAGGAGAAGCCATGTGGACTTCAAGCCATCACGAGCTCCCAGGGGTCAAACGCTGTGTAACTGATGCACACAGAGCTTTGCTAGGGCAGAGCCAGGGCCTTGTTGGGAGAATTTGGGCACCTCGCATGTGCTCAATGGCACGCGCAGGAGCTCAGTGTGAAGGAATGGGAACAGGAGGAGCACCCAGAACCTTCCCTGGCCCCTGGGAGAAGCCCTGAGACCAGCACGAACCAGCGATGTCGTGGAGCAGCAGGGTAGAGCTGAGGAGCGCCGGAAAGGAGGTGCAGAGCCGTGGGGGAGCTGAGGCCCCAGGGGTGCTAACAACCTTCAGGGCATATTCCACCCCAGGCACCAAATGAGAAGGCCTTGCTGCCCGCCCCCCCCCCCTTGCTGGGTCCCTGCGGGGTTCCCTGGTGGCACTTATCACAGTGGCAATTACATAATTAATGGTGTAATGAGCTGTGTTACGTGTGCCTCCCTCACCAGAATGCAGCCTGATGAGGGCAGGGGCTTCTTCATCTGTTCGGTCCTAAGCCCTACTCGCGGAGACTGTCCCGAGCGGGTGCCAATTAAACATTGCCTGGACAGACGGGCAGATGGGATGGGCGAGGGGCTCAGCTCTGGGTTGAGTGCATTAGCCATCCTCACCACAGCTCTAAAGGATGCTGCCCAAAGAGAAGCCTGATGATGACAGGCCTGAAGGCCAGCCAGGACACGTGCAATAGCCAGCCAGGAAGGAAAGACAAAAAGCTCTGTACTCCAGACCTGGGTCACAGCCCCTCCCCTCTCGGGTCAGGTCCTTTTTGGCTCAGCTTACAGTGGGGTGGGGGAGAGCTGGGTGCTGAGGATCCAGAGGAAAAAGCAGCAGGGCCCCTGCCCTCCTGAGGCCAACAGACCCTCAGGAGGCTGCGCGGTGGAGAGTGGAGGTTGTCCGGGGAGGCTGGAAGGAAGGGGCCATTATGTGAGAAAGGGTGAGGGCCCACCAGATGGAAGGAACGGCCTGAATGAGGCCGGAGGCAGGACTGAGCAAGTGGGGCCACTACCATGATCTCCCCTCCTCCCCCTCAGGTGGCCTGGCTGCCACAGCCAATGGTCAAATGCTCTCTGTTCTCATGGCTCCAATCCCTGGCAATCCTGCAAAGTCACCCCGATTTGTTAGCTGCCGATATGGCTGCTGGGGGAGGGGGGGTGGCGGACACTCTCCCACGTGCCTTTGGGGTCCAAGCTGGAGAGGGGTCTCTGGCTTGTTTCTGACCTGGTGCTGCCTACCTCTGCCTCCCGCCAACAAGGCCAGCTGCTAGCAGCAGTGAGCCACCAGAAGCCACTTTCCACAGAGCACGTTCTAGGTCAAACTCCCCCCTCATTTTGCAGAAGGATTAACAGAAGCCCAGAGAGGGCCAGTGACTCGTCCAAGAGGTCCAGCAGGGTTGAGATCCCTCTACAGCTCTGTGCCCCTTGGTCAACCAGAAAATGAACTGAGAGCTGGAAGCCAAAAAGAGGAGGGGTCAAGGTCTTCCAGCTGGACACCCCAGAGGAGCCAGGGAATGCGCCCCCCTCCCCCGCCTTTCCCAGCCTGGGCCGAACCACCTCTCCCTTCCCTGCCTTTGACACCCCCTCTCCGCAGCATCCCACAGTCAGCATCCCAGTCGGGGAGGCTCAGCAAACCAGCCCCTCCCAGCCCCGTTCCACCTGGGGGAGCCAGGGAATTGGCGCCCCCCCTCCCCCCAGCCCCCAGGGGAGGAAGCCGCCTGTCAGGCCGCCACGGCGTGTCAAATCCTCTTGCTGCCTAATTGTGAGACGGCGGCGTTTAAAGAAACGCTTTTCTGGCCGCCTGCCACACCGCAAACTGCTTGGTATAATTTTATTATTAAGGAGAGAGGAAAAAAAGGGAGGGGGTTGGGAGGGAGGAGAGAGAGAGAGAGAGAGAGAGAGAGAGAGAGAGAGAGAGAGAGAGGAGGAAATTGCTTAGTCCAAGTCAGCTGGTGGAGTATTCTGCTCAATGTGAAAGCGGGGACGGCTTTCCAGTTGGCAAGCTGACTTCGTTAATTGCGCATTCAGTCTCTACTTAGGGTAATTGAAACGAAGCGGGGCCCAGGTCTGACAATTAGGGTCTGCGACTAGGCCATTAACCCTTTCTGCATCCGCCCCCCACCCCCGATGGATAGCACGCACCCACTCCAAGTGGGGGTGGGTCACCGGGCACCCCCCGCGAGAACCCATTCCGAGGCTGGGGGGCAGGGAGCCGCGCAAGGCGGCGCGTACCGCGGCAGGGGTGCTGCGGGGCGGGAGCCCCAGCGCGAGCAGGGTTAACGCGGTGCCGAGAGTCCGGGAGCTCGGCTACGGCCGAGCTGGGGATGGGGGAGCCGCGCTGGGTGTGTGGGGGTTGTTTGCGGCCTCGCCGCCCCTCTGCAACAGATGTTTCAGCCGTGTAAGACAAAGGCAGAGCGCCTGCTGCTGCCGGGAGAAAATCCGCAGGACTCCCTCAGGGGCAGGTAAAATTTCACCTTCTATTTGTGTTCCCCCCTCACACCCCCGCTCGGTTTCCCGGCCTCTGCGCCAATCCGGAAAGCGCCACCAAAGACGCCGCGCCGCCTCCTCCGCAGCCCAACCCGCTGACCCCAGCAAAGTCACGGCGACCTCGGGCTCCGCCAGCAGCGCGCCCGCCCGTCGTCCGCCGGCGAGGGGTGCCTCTCCGCGCCCGGCCCCCCTCCCGGGGCGCCCCCCGTCCGCGATCCGCGGTAATTGGAGGCACCGGGCGAGAGAGGAAGGGGGCGCTGCACTCGCCACGAGGCGGAGGCGGCGCTGGACGCTCCGCGCCTCCCTCCTGCCAGCGCTGGGACCCCGGGGGGCTCTGCACCCCCCCCCCCAGCCCCCATCATTCATCTCCCTGATTCCCGCTGTATCCGCCCTCGGAAGTCAGCCGAGTGAAGCAGCTGTTCCTTGCACACTCCACTTGACCAAAGATGATGATAAATGAGGCCCGGGCTGCGTCGGGGACGCGGCGGCGGCCGCGAGGGGCGCGCAGGGCGGGGCGTACGGCCCACCGCCCCCTCCCCGCGCCTCGGAAAGGGCGAGGACGCGGAGGACAGAGGCCGGGAGGCACAATCAAAGGGCCGCGCTTCCCTCGCGGCGCCCCGCGCAGCCCCCGCACCCGGCTGCCAGAAGGCGGCGGGCGGAGGTGCGCCCGGAACGCCGGGGCCGAGGCGGAGACCTCTTCCTAGCGGCCCGCGCCGCAGCCCCGCCCCCTCCCTGCCCCCTCCCTCCCCACCTCTTCCCCTAAGGCCGCGGTCCCCACGGCGCCCTCGTCCCCCTCCCCCCCCCCACCCCGGTGCCTCAAACCTATTAACGCTCGTAAATAATGAATAATG